GACTTCAGCTGTGAATGTACAATCAAGGCATTGTCTTCTGATAATAAAGTACTGTGTTTTCTTCTTTGCAGTTTAGTGTATAAGATTTCTATATTAAAACTATATATTTATATATTAAAACTGGTTTTAGATTTGGCCCCACGGCTGAAATTTGGGTGACGGTTTCTTTTAAGAAGTTTGCTGTTTTAATATAAAGTTTCCTCTAATCTCTTAAAATGTGATTTGTTTGTTTTTTGGGGACATTACAACTTACATTCATTTCCTGGAGACTTATCCTGGCCCTTCCCATCACAACTGGAATATTTCTAACATTTTGAGTTATTTTCCAGTGTTAGAAAATCAGCACTGCTCAGTGTTAGTCATTGTTAATCTTCAAAACTGACTAGGTTACTTATAAAATATAACACTGTCAAAAGTGTTCATTTAACACTCAACAGTGTTATATTTAACAGTCAGAGGAGTGGACCCATATAGACACTCTCTAGTGTTCATTTAACACTGGGAGTAGGCCAGACCTCACAATGTGAGTGTGTAAACAAATTTGTGTCCCCACAACAATAAGTAATACACGACCACAGACACAGTTACTTTACCAACTGACCCCTGAGCTCCAAAGTGTCCCTCAAACCTGATCCAGGGATATAAATGCACCCAAACACATCACACACATATGCAAATGCATTATATTGCCTGAAAAAAATAGGCTAACTGCACAGTGTTGCCTTGAGGCAACGAATGAAAATGAACAGTTTTGCTGTATAAATAAATTTTAAAAAGTAGAACAAACGATCAAATATGCTTCTTAACATATTCATGCACATACAAGTATTTTTATTTCTTTCACTATAAACATGTAAAATTGTGATCTTTATCTTGCCTCCTAATGGAGATGTCGCTCATGTAGTGCAGCTTGCAGAAAGTCACACCACCTTCAACTCATCATTTTATTGGAAAGAGATGTGCCGGTAGCATTATTTGAAGAAAAAAAAAAAAGGTTGTTTTGTTTTTTGAAGGGCCAGTGTAAGGCATGCAAATGTGGTTTGTTGCCTCAGGGCAGCGCTACGCAGCGGAGGGTTCAAGAGTCTTCTAGAATAAAAATCAAGTTTTGTGTAAGTTCCAGGGAAGGAGAAAGGAATGACATTTAGTTGCTTGATCGGCGGGGTGAATTACATGGGAACCACACTAATGAGGCTTTAAAATGCAGGCTCTTTTTCCCTTTTATTTTCCTTCTCTTTTTATTTTCTTTCCCCCAAAAGAATTAAAGCTTAGAAACAAGTCACAGTGGCTTTTATATACACAGATTTGTATTTTGAATTGAATCCCAAAGGATTGTTTGAGGAACACTTGCTTTGGAGAGGACCGCTGTTATGTCACAAAGTGTGAATGTGAAGAAGTCTCTGTGTTGTAGATTTGCTGAAGAACTGTTTAAGTGACGCTCCATCACTTCTTTATTTTATATCGTTGGAGCTCTTTTGTACACAGTTCCACTGCAGCGCGCCACACCGCCACATTAATGTATGTGTTTGTTAAAGAATTAGCCTCCTGTCCTGTTCGTGCGCGGTGCCAAATGCTCGATTGAACTTTTATGGATTTGGCATTCAAGTTCACATGCAGTTCACACTTTGCGCCTTTAAACCAGCAAGCCCTATCTGACGGTTCTCAATTGTGTAAATGTCATCCAGGGAAGGACCGACTTTATGTTTGCTGTGTTTTACTGGAGTGTTTTATTCTTATGGTTTTATTGCATGTTTTATTGTATATATTA